ATGGTAAATTAACATTTTTTTTTTTTACTTTTTATCGATTAATTATTTAACTTATTAATAAAAATATAAAAAATCGAGCTTATTTCAGTTGTTGAAAAAATTCTTCTCTAAAACTTTTATAATAGGTAGTTTTGCTGTAAACTATTTAAATAAGCCGTATTACTTGAATTATCAAACAATTTGGGTATGATAAAAAAAAGAAATAGGTAGGTACCTACTCAAAAAACTATTTATAACAATTAACAGAAATCTTTCAATGTAGACAATCTGAGCCACAACCAGGTTAAGTGGTACATATTATAAATTGAACATAATTTGCGAAAGGATATTTTAAATAGTCCATACCATATATTTGGCAAACACTAATATTGTGCCCGATATTTTTGCACTGGAAGAAAGTTATACGAACTGAATTTGATCGACCAGTGGCGTCCGCAGGGGGGGGCCTAAGGGCTAAAGCCCCCCCCCCCCCATTACCCGTATTATTATTACTTTTTCAAAAAAATATTAATCAAGTTAAACTCTCAACTATAGTAAGCAAGACGTAAATTTCAAATATGTCTTACCAGAATGAATTCATTTTTGAAAAAACATTGTATTTGTAACATACCAATTTTCATAAATTATCTGTAATTTTTCGGTAAAAGTATGAACTATTTGTATGAAAGACCTTGTATTAAATTGTCTAGCCTTAGCTATACACATTTAATATTTTATAAGTTTTGAGCTACAAATTAACTGTGGTTTTGACGAAATTTGAACTTTAAATGCTTATAAAAAATAAGCATGATACCTATGTATCGTTAATATTTTAGCTATAATAAAAAAACTTACGTATTACATTTTTAAGCTTTTTGACCGGATAAATAATATTTTATTGACATTTATAGAAAACAAAAATTTAATTATTCAAATACAATCCAAGTGAAGACGGTATAACCAAACATTTAAATAAATTTTCATTTTTTTTTCTCAAATTATTTTTAAAAGCACTGAGCATTGTCAATTTCAACCTCCTAATAGTATCAACTAGATCCAATTTGCTTCCAAAAACATACACTGAGCATCGGAGCTTATGATCAGAGCATTTTTTTTAGACTGGACAAAATGAAAAGAAAATTGTAACTAATTTTCAAGCCCCTCCCATTGAAAAATCCTGCGGACGCCACTGTGATCGACGAAGTATTGCAAAGTGGTTTGATGAAAGAAATGACAACTGCACTTAGACGTGTTGCTGATAATTCAAAAAGTTTATTACTTGATGTTGATAAATGATAACAACATCTGCGAACAGTTTAATAGTGCATTAATAAGCACATAGGCGGTCAACGAATTAATTTTTCTCAAAAACAGTCGTACACCACTAAAATATATACTGCTGTACTGCTCAACTGCTGTAGTATCATTTAATACAGGTGGCAATTATATACGAGAGCTTCACAAAAAGATAACAACCAAAAGTCCAGGTACATTATTTAAAAAGTACCTATAGTGAGTTTAATTAATTAATTTTAATTTTATAATATTATTATGGCATGAATTAGAATTTAGGTAATAGAAATTTTGAGTTTTTTACAACAGCGCTTTCAAATTAAAATTAAATAAATACTACCAAAACTTATATTTCACATTTCACATTTTTATATTTTGGTATATCGTATATTAGCTATGAGTAAATTAAAAATTGAAATAATTTGTATATTAAAGGTGTATAGGCACAATAATAAAATAAATAAAATATTTCATTATGAATTATTTTTCAGTATTTATAATGTATGAATAGTATTAATTTATTATTATTATGTGGGTAATTGTTTTAATATTATTATATGTGTATAGGAATCATAGCCAAAAATTTTTTGAAGCATACGGCAGATAAACGAATAACATTAAGACGCAGGAGAGCACTTTTTAAATTATCTGGTGTGTATAAATCAAAAAAAAGGTGGGCAAGTGGGTGTCGCTCTGTTGTACAGTAGGTTATAAGTATAAGGGATGGTATTGCATTTGAATTCAATGATATTATATCATTGTATAAGAAAAACGATTCTGAGCGGAGACGGTATGTCAGTCTAGGTATAAGACATATTCACATATTATATACATATATATGGTATTAAACAAAAAGTAGATACCTATAATAAATTCCAAATTAATCATATCACAATATCCATTAGGTACTTACAACGCGTTATAAAAACCATGATACTATCATAGATATATAATAATAATACACTTTTGAAGTTTCAAGCACCCACGAATAATATTATTCAATCACAACAAAAAAACTAAAATAGTTAGGTTTTTTAATATGTAATTTCGTCCATATTTGAATTTCAAATGTTTGTAAAAAATAACTGTGTACATATATTTTTTAGATTTTTTGGTTACAGTGTGAACTATTTATGAGAATCTTTGTTTTAAATTTTAAATCCTTAGCTATAAAAACTGAACATTTTATAATTTATTAATTAGAATGATTGAAAATTTTCGAGTTTTTGATAAATTTTGTCAAAATTAGATCTTTAAATGCTTAAAAAAAAAATTGTGCTTATGTATTTTTATATTTTTCAATTGCTATTGACTATTGTAACAATATATCAGGAGCCTTGTATTAAATTTTTACACTTTTTGGCCCAACAGATAAAACTTTATTGATATTCATTGAAAAAAAAACTAAAAAAATTGAAAACTGAAAATTTCCGTAAATAGCTCAAAAAGAGTCAAAATATTTTCAAAATTGTATGGTGTATAGGAAATGCTAATATAAATATTCAGGGAAATTTGCATGTAGGTATCTACAGTTATTTGTTTTTGAATTACAACAAAATAAGGAAATCGCTACATGAGAAATCGAGTGAATATCCAATGTTGTAAAAATTTGAATTTCAAACGCTCATAAAAATTTAATTTGACTTTCCGGTAGAAATTTTTTTATTGTTAAAAGTAGACAAACTTATGAGTAAACTTGTATTACATTTTCAAATCTTAGAAAAAGAAGAAATAAAAATCTAAGAAATAAAAGAAAAATTTTTACGAATTCTTAACTCAAAATAATTTGCTAATTTTCGTGATTTTTCCATATTTTGTCAATTTTTTAACTTTAAATGCTTATAATAAAAAAAAATTGTGACTAAGGATTTTTAATATTTTTCATCTGCCTTTGAAAAAATATACTAGGAGCCTTGTATTAAATTTTCAAGCTTTTTTAACCAACAAATAAAATTTTATTGATATTTCTAGAAAAAAAACTAAAAAAAAATGGAAAATGAAAATGTCCCTAAACAGTTCAAAATAAATCAAAATATTTTGAAAATGTTATCGTATATAGAAAATGCAAATATAAACAACCAAAATGAAAATTTCATGTACCTAAGGTCATTTTTTTTAAAGTTACACCAAAAACTAAATTCAATTTTGTGAAAAATCGATTTTGCGTAAAAATTCCCGTTTTTGCTTAATTTTTATGTTGTTTTTCCCGGTGCTTTTGAAAATTACTGAGCATTTTAAATTTTGACCTCCCAATGCACCAACGATATTCACTTTCCAATCGAACAAGATACTGAAGTTGAAAATCGAAGCATTATTTCTACTACTTATCGTGTACACAGACACAAAAGAAAAAAAGAAAAAAAGAAAACTATAAACTATATTATACTTGTTGAACTAATATTATTTTTTTTCATGGTTAAATAATAGGAAATTGTTGCGCGTTACCCTTTTATTATATTAATATAGGTAATATGATTATAATTTCTTTTTTAAATATAAATGTGGTGATAAATAATATAGGTCACATACTAAATCTATTTATTGATTTTATCCATTTGATAAACTATCAAATAAACTATCTATTTGATAACTGTAATTCATTGGATTGTGTAATACTTATAATATAGTAGTTTGTATAGTAGGTAATTTTAAACTAACAGTTACTTATAGAAATATTTTTTTAATAAATGTATGTTACAATTTGTTATCATTATATTTTACAACTATACATTTTAAATTAGTTATTTTTCTCAGTCAATGTACCCGATCTCTAAAAATTACAGAATGATAAATAAAGATTTTAGAGTATTATTATTATCATTACGAGTAGATTACCTATAATTATTATATTACTATATTAGGTATACCTACTACAAACATATTATTAATTTAAATAAATATTTGTAATTACTTATTATCATATTTTAATATAACATTAACAGTTGAACTTAAAAAATAATACACGGTAAATTAATATTAATTTTATTGCGCTGTATTTATTTTATTTACCATTTATTAGATTTTACAATAAGTATTATATTTAAATAAGTAATAATTCAATAACTTCAATTCAAGCTATGTTATAATACAGTTTCTACGATCTATATGTTGGGACATAAATTTAAGTAAACAGTATCTTAATTTATAATCTGTAGTTCGTAGGTACGCGAGGGTATTGAAAATATTACGGCGGCATTTGCGTATAATGAATTATATAATGATACGAATGGTACTGGACGAAGGTTCATAGACAAATAAACGGCGCTCCCGAAGTCCCGAACGAGCACTCGTCGCCGCCGTCGGCCGGTTGCGAATAGTAGGCGTGACTTAAACGCCGCGCGCTTGCGGATCGTGAAAACACCTAACAGCGCATCCTCTCGGTCGTTGCATGCGTACAGCTTTGGGTGACACGTCCTCGTGGTTGGAAAGCATGAACTATGATTATCTTAGTTCATGTTGGAAAGCAAAAGTAATAGTGATAACTTAGAAATTTAGGATCAATATAATGGCTACACTGGATTTTAAATGACAACAACTATCAATAATTATAATCATATGTTTGTAATCAGGAAATTTCATTTCTATCGTCCCGAGATCCAATACCCAACTGTCCCAACTCAACTGTCTCAACTCCGAAGCCTAAATAGTAAAAATCGCAAAAAATTCAATTCCTTTTGCTGAATACAAATAATTTTGTTGAATTTATAATTTCGATTAAAACAACCATTATGGCTGGCTTAGGTATAGTGGAAACGTCTGCCATACGTTTGCTAAAACAACCCTTCACACAGGTCAGTACAATTTTTTTTTAACAATGATGTAATATTGTGTAATCTCACCTTGTAAGTAATTTATTTGCAGCAAATTAAGCAGATTCATGTATCAACTGCTCTAGCAGCTAGTGACGGGGCTGTAGACAAAACGCCAAGAATCAAAACCGTTCAAGTATATAGATGGAATCCAGAAACTCCCGAAGTGAAGCCGAAAATGCAAGATTACAAGGTTGATCTGAGTTCGTAAGTACTGTATCATTTGAATAATGTGAAATAAAATGAACTGTATTTATACTTGCAGCTGTGGACCTATGGTTTTGGATGTACTGATCAAAATCAAGAACTCTGAAGATTCAACATTGACATTTAGACGTTCTTGCCGTGAAGGTATCTGTGGTTCTTGCGCTATGAACATTGGGGGAGTCAATACACTAGCCTGTATTAGGTTTGTAGTTTATATTTTTAAATCGCTTGAATTGATTTATTTTATAATTGCATAGTGTAATTTATGTATGTTTATTATGTTATCCAGTGGTGTCAATACCGATTTGTCAAAGCCCTTGAAAATATATCCATTACCACATATGTATGTTGTCAAGGACTTAGTGCCGGACATGAAATTGTTTTACAAACAGTATGCTTCCATTGAACCATGGTTACATACTGATGTAGTACCTGCCAACAATAAAGAACATTTGCAACATACATATGATAGAGAGAAACTTGTAAGCCATTATTTACAGCTATATTTAAATATGTTATTAATCTAATATTATATGTTATATATTTTAGGACGGTTTGTATGAATGTATTTTGTGCGCATGTTGTTCCACATCATGCCCTTCATACTGGTGGAACTCGGAGAAATATCTTGGACCGGCAGTTCTTATGCAGGTATAATTATATTTAAATCGAGTCTAGAGTATGAACTTGTAAGTTATTGCGACTATCATTAATACACTTATTTATCTGTATATGTACGTATCATATTGTAGTATCAGCCCATGACACAGTGATTTAGTTAACTATTTACTCTTTGACGTGATTATTATTTATAGTAATTAAAAGGATATTTTCGATTTGCATAGTAAGGTCTTACAACCTTTGGCAAAAAAACATACATCAATCATTACAACAATTGATGTATACCATGTATATGTTACCATAAATGCCCGATCACTAGGTAAATCTAGGTTTTACTAGTTAATGCTAGGTTTTACTGTTTGTACTCAGTAAATGCTGAAATTCTAAATTGTATTCGGGCTTTTACTAAACACATTGTGTACATCCTAGGATATACAAATTGACTTAGTAAAAGCTGATCAATACACGACACATAACATTTAATCTGCTTAAAAATTATAATTATATATTATTAAAACAAACTACTGACAGTTATTTAAATTCTTTATACAAAATAAAAATCATTTAAAAACAGAATCATTATAATTTAATAAAAAATTTTTTTTTCTTCATAAAAATCAGCAAAATTGGTGGGTAGTTAGAAATAATTATTTAAAATTTTTATTTATTTGCACATGTACTTTTATGGCACCTGCTATTACATAATACATTTGACTGGCGGCATTTGCATTTTTTAGTTGTAAATTTTTTCTGGCAATGACACCTCAAAAATCCTTGCCCGCCTGATACTGAAAGTTGAGCAACAGCTTGGCGTATGCTTGTTGTTGTATTTGGAACATCGGATATTGAAATAAATTTTTCTTCGCATAAAGTAAATTGATTTCACTACGCGCACAACACATATTACACTGTTCTACAAATGGATCCGTCTATCACGTAAAACCCAAACTGACTGAACATGTACCTAATAAAACCATATCTAAGCGATAAAGTATCCATTAGTGCCACCAATCAATTAATATCAGTCAGCTATTACTAAGTTATATCATGATATAAGTTGTATAATATTAATCTTGAACCCGACAAAATGCAAGTCCCTGCAACACATTGAAGTCGTAAATTTATCTTCGTAAAATAATTGTTATTAATCGTTGCAAGCAAAAATGTTTGATTTGTGATTACAACTTAAAATGCATTTTTATTTTGTATAAAGAATTTAAATAACTGTCAGTAGTTTGTTTTAATAATATATAATTATAATTTTTACGCAGCTTAAATGTTATGTGTCGTGTATTGATCAGCTTTTACTAAGTCAATTTATCCTGGGATGTACACAACATGTTTAGTAAAAGCCCGAATAAAATTTAGAATTTCAGCATTTACTGAGTACAAACAGTAAAACCTAGGTTTACCTAGTGATCGGGCATTTACGGTAACATATATATATTTTAGTGCAGTGGCTCTCAATCTTTGTATACATCCCGACTAAGATATTTATCCAACTAATCATTATATCTTATGAACTTTTAAAAATAAAGTGAACCGGCTACACTTGGCTATAACCCCAACCCCCCACACACCAACCTTAGTTTTCAATAATAAATTGTATGTACGATTTAAATATTTATTACAGTTCAACACAATAGTCTTATCTGTTCATAATTTTTTAGTGGGTTGTGCCCAGTGTAATGAAGTTCAAAATATTGACACCAAGAAAAATTAGGGTTAATTCTGGTTTACAACTAATCTATATACATACAAATATATGCTTATCTGTTTGTTAGCTAGAGACTCAACAATTACTATTTACTTGACCGTTTCAATAAAAGTCAATAGATTCCTTGAGACTTCGATGGTGTTGCATAATTTTTCAACCTTTATAAGTAGCTAAGGAGTTTTCAATTAAAAAGTTTCCGTGAATTTTCAACACTAATATACATATTTTAAATAGTAATTATTGTATTTCTCAAAAAAATTAGTTTCAAACATTGTTTTTATTGTCTTCAGGAAGTTCTAAATAAAAATGTTTTGCTAATTTTTTTTAATTTCTTGTCAACACACTCACACTTATGCACAACTTAAAGGTTGATAAATGTTATTGTAGTCTAAATATTTTTCAATATAAAAAAAATAATCTATAACATATGTATTAATAACAACATTTTTTAATTTAAGGCGTATCGTTGGATTATTGACTCCAGAGATAAAGCTACAGCTGAGCGTTTAGATAAAATGAAAGATCCTTTTTCAGTTTTTCGTTGTCACACCATTATGAATTGTACCAAAACATGCCCAAAGGTTTGTCTATTCATATTTAAATTCATCTATTAATTATTTTTAATTATTAAATGTTTATTATAGGGTTTGAATCCTGGTAGAGCTATAGCACGCATCAAGAGTCTACTTTCTGGAACGTCCAACAAGGAAGAACCAAAAGCTATTAAACAATAAAGCAATACTCGATAGTATTATGATTTTCAGTAGTATATTTCAAGCTTTGAAAATTAAATATAAACCAAAATTCTGGTAACAAAGTATTTTATCTTACTATATCGTGGATTATAGAATCAAAAATTAATGTCAGCTTATTTATTGTTACAAATAAAATACTATTATTATAACTCAATACTGTTTATTAAATTTGATGACAGCATTCTTAATTACATCAATATCCTCTGTTGACGACACACATTTACAGTTTTTCATTAAATCTATTAATTTCTGTTTGAATTCATCGTGTTGCTTTTGCTTATAGTTCACAATAAATTTTCGAGTTTCCATTAAAACTACGCCTCCATCTTTAATCATAGATGTTATATTAAAGTTCATTTTTTCAAAATACATATGACCACAATACATTATATCAAAAAAATGTTTATATCTATCAAATGTAGGGTAATCTGTCATAGCTGTGCGAGGAATAAAGTGGATCTCCACATCGCTAACATCAATACTAGAGTAATGTTCAGACATAACTTTAACTTGAGGTGATGGAGTTTGTACATTTTGGATTTTCACATTTGGTAGTTCGGTTATGATTACTCCGAGATTGTCAGTTTTACCTTTGTGCTTGTAAGGCTTTTGGTTTTCTATTTCATAGAACATTCTTGTTAAATTTCTCTCAGTCAGGTCCACGGAACGTTTTAGTGGTTGCATGTTTCCCATCTTTAACATATCATCGTCTTCACAGTCTAAGCCAAAAGATGGAAAAGGACCATTTATAATGTCTCCAAAATAGTCCATCGCAGTTATTTTGTCCCCATCTTTCAATAGGACTAAAGCAAATGTATAATTAGGTTCAGTACAATCCGTCTCTAAGAATGTGTAAGCTACACCAGTATCGCGCCAATAAGTGTACTCTCGATTTGTGATTCTGTTACCTCTGTCGATATAATGAAGAGTCATATGTAAATCCCAATCAAACACATTGTTTCGGTGATCATACCTTGTGCCCAAATAGTTTCGTACCCTCTTGTCCCACATTGTTGTTATGTTGAAACCATTATTATTTTTCCAATACTTAAATATGGTTTCAATAGTGTCCCTTTCTTTGTATTTAAGCGCATCTAATTGTACAATGGGTAAACAGTGCTGTCTAGCTGTTTCGTCAGTAATGATATCTATAAGTTGGGCTGATTTTTTGATTAGATAACTGTTTGTATTTGGCTTTACAAGAGTATTACCATAGAGTTCCATCCAAGTACGTACCTGAAAAATTGTATTAAAATAGTATTAATGAATAATATTTAAAATAGAAAAATCTACAATTTGTTGAATTATTATATTTTTTATTACTGTATAGTGTATATTTATTAGAAATTATAGATTTAAAATATGTTATGTATTTTGATTTGTAGACCACATACTGTAATATAATTCATTATTGTAGATTGTATATTAGTAGACAGCCGATTTATTTATTACAGTGTTATCTTCGGTGACAGACGTGCAGTGCAGATCCAGGGCTTAATTTTTTTTGGCGGGGCATGGGAGGGGAAAAATTACAACAATTGACTAAACAATTTATATATAACATAATAAAACTATGGTGATTTGGGGAGGCTAATAATGCCAAATACACCATTGCCACAACTCCCGCTCCCACCAGGATCCGCCGCTTCAGACATGTTTATTTGAATGTATACCTTATTACCTTATTTTAATATTAACATAATCATTATTCATTTATTAGAATGATTTCAAGTTCTCTAGAATTTCAATGGTAAATTCAATGGCGGCTTTGGTGATTGATATAGTGAAGCAAGTGGAGCTCCTCACTCACATTTCTGAAGTAAATAAGGCTAAATTAATATACTTCTTAGCTCATCAATATCTAGAACTGAATCATTTTTACCCAATTTATGATTTTAGTTTTGAAAAAAATTCAATTTTGATGCATGAATAGTTTAAATATTATATAAATTAGACCGATACGAAATGCAGGAATTATGTGCAGGTAGTGAATATAATATATTCACCAGATATGCAATATAGGCAAGTCGTCATTCGTCACAGCCCACCGTACAAGACACCGGACATGAGGCAGTCGCCTACTCGCCCATCATTTTGGACTTAAGTTTGTACCTTAGAAACCTTAGATCATTAACTATGAAGGGATGAACGATAAATATGAACGCCTTAGACGTTAGATCCTACAGCTACAAATTACAATAAAATGGTTTATAGTACAGATAGAGTTGATTGAGGGGGGACGGGGTGACCGAGGGGACTAAGGCGTCGGTTGCGACGCACACCGACGCCGGTTCGATACCTCTGCCATGGGTGGCAATTTTTGTTCGGGCAAGGCACCGTGTCCGGAGAACAAGTGCAGCTACCCCCCCAACCCGGGCATGGCAGATACCTACGGGTGCCCAAATCAAAAATTCTGCCAAAACAAGCACACACGTGTGTTCCTCCCCTACCAACAAAAACCTACAAACAAAACAAAAAATAGCTAATGGCCTAAGTTGCCGGGCTCAAGATCAATAAAAAAAAAAAAAAACATTTGATAGATAATCTGATAGTATATTATTATTTACTAATAAATTATCTATTATTTAAACTTATTTGTATCCGTCTGCAATGTAAGGCTACAACTTTGTGGGGGTATCGCCCATAGATTTATATTATTATTTATTAATTTATAATAATATATATCTATGGTATCGCCCAACTTACTCTCCTCACGTCTATTATCAATTATCATTATCTATCACTGAAGCCGAGTTACCGGCCTGTGACCAGAGACCGGAGATCGTAAAATGTTATGAAACGCATGACAAAATAAATAACCTAACCTATAATTTGTCACGATGAAACCGCGCATGCGCAATTCAACCAGAGGCAACATTCTTCGTCGTCTCTTACCAACTGAAAAACGGAAAAACCGTTGGCTTTCTGTAATTTTATTTTTCAAGTGTAAATAAGTGTAATCACTAATGTGGATTCTGAAATCTGAATCGACTGAATCGTCGTCCGATTGATGTACAACGTGTTGTCTCTTTTATTAGTGTCGGTCTCGGTTTTGCAATTCGCTTGTTTGCTAATTACTGTTCTTACTCTTATTAAGTGATTTACTTGAATATCGTACATTTTTGAGTTTAATTGATTGATTAAATTCGTTAAGTGATTTAAGAACATCGAAAATCTGAATTTAGTTTTCGTCATGAATCCAGTTACGGACCCAGTTGTTATGTTATTGGAAACGCCATTTCTATGTTGGAAGCAGTGTTGCCGATAGTACGGTATTTGTCGGGGGATTACGGTAATTTCATACTCCGTACGGTCGGAGTACGGTCAACCAAAAATGGGTCAAATAGTACGGTAAATTCAAAAAAAAAAATTAGCTTTTCATCATATTTGTTATAAATATTTTGTATTTGATTTTATTTTTGTATCAATTCTATATATTATATAATATTGAACTTCGAACCTGACCCAGACTTTTGATCGTGATATTATGTGAGCTGGACTAAGATGGTGCTCAGTTTCTCCCTAGTTAGAATTCCCATAGAATTCCATAGAATTCCCCATAAAAGAAAACAGAGTTTATCTAATAACCCCAAACCTTGGGTGAAACTATCATAATAATTAACTATAATTTTTGATTTTAAATATCATGTAATTTTTGTTTTTGAATTTTTTATCATGTTGTCTGTAATTCATAAGGGCTGGTTATTTTATTAATTTACATTTATTTTAACAACTACATAAAATCATCAATTAAAAATAAATTAATTCATCAAAATGTTTGAATAAAATAATAAATTGTTTAATATCTAAGTACGCGACCGCTGCAGGCAGAATAATGCAATATCCGACGGTAAACCACGGTATTCGTATTAAGATGATAATTAAAAATCACGGGGCCCTTTAACAAGCGCGGGGCCCTGGACAAATGTCCCATTTGTCCTCTCCTAGCGCCGGCACTGTCCATAACCCTGAACCCATTATAAGTTTTTACCTGAAGATTGTTAATTGTTATTTGTTATTAATTTTTAATAGGTTTTAATGGTTTTATAAATATTTGATAAGAATTTGATAAGAATTTGATAAGAATTCGGATAAGAAATTATAACTGATAACCATGCTGATAACCTAAAAAATCAATAAGTACGGTAATATTGTTCAAAGTACGGTAATTTTGTCATATTTTCCCCGCTGACTAGATAACAAACATTGGCAACGCTGGTTGGAAGTCTAGTAATAGAAACGAATTACTTGAAGCAGGTAGACCTACTCCCATTTTGTCGGTTTTTTCTCCCGACAAAAAACAAAATAAGGTATTCTGTAGGTCGTTTAATACAAACTTATATCAACTCCACTCGTGGTTGTGCGGAAGTCATTATATTCAAAAATTGTTTTGCTGGCCGTGTTTGTTAATAGGTCGAACAAGGTCTGTATGGAATACTGTAGGGTATTGTGATTTCAAAAATTTGTCTAGGAGTATGAAGATACACGAGTCGTCCAGGGAACATATTCATAATCATCTAGGATTGAAAAACCTAGAAAATAACTGTTCTATTGTGGTAGATGTTATTAATGGACATGACCATTTATTTAAAAAAAATTATAACGAAAATGTTCGATTGAATCGTTTATTTGTGGAGCACTTGATTGATTTGGTTTTATTTATGGGAAAACAAGAGTTATCATTTAATGGAAACGACGAGAGCAGTGATTCATCAAATAAAGATAATTTTAAAGAATTGTTCGATATGCATATGATTAGGTGTTCTCAAGAAATACAAAATCATTATAAAAGTATAAAAAACACATTTATGGGTTCATCAAAGTCCGTACAAAACGATTTGATTTCATGTATTTCCGAATTTTTATTAAATCACATTAAAAGAGAAATTAGACAATGCGCATTTTATTCTATTCAAATTGATGACACTAAAAGTATTTCTCAAGAAACACAATATTCAATTATTATAAGATATGTTACAGATAAATCCGAATTGGTCGAGCATTTCCTAGGTTTTCATAGTGTTAGTGAAAATTACAACTACAAGGCTCGAGGTTTATTTAATTCAATTCATTCTGTTTTACATGAATTAGATATGGAAAATAAGTTAGTAGCTCAATCTTATGATGGGGCATGTGTAATGTCTAAAAAATTAACTGACTTACAGTCTAGGGTTAAAGAGGTCGCACCTAATGCTTTATTTACGCATTCCTTAGCCCATGAATTAAATTTGATATTGCAACAAGGTTGTAGTGTAAACGCTAAATGTCGGATATTTTTTGCTAATCTAACTGGTATAGTTGCATATTTTCATAATTCTACGTCGCGTATAAACGTTGTAAATAATATTATAGAGGAACCAATTCCTCAATTTGCTCAATCCAGATGGCCCTCAGAGTCAACAATTTTACATATATTAGTTAATGAATGGTTAGGGTTTATAAATGTTTTTGATTTTATTATCAATGATCCAAATTCATCAAACGAGTCAATTTGTGGTGCTATCGGTCTTTTAAAAACCATAAAATCGTTTAAATTTACTTTTTTAGCACTGCTATTTAGTGATATATTCACATTAACGGACATTTTATTTAAGAAACTCCAAAATAAATCGTTTGATATAGAATATTGCATAAAAAATAAACGTTTGACATGTGATCTAATATATGAAAAAAGAAATGAGTCTGAATTTTTAATGTTTTATAATAAAGCAGGTATACTCACAAAAGCTAAAAAAAATAACTCTGAGAATCAATCAATTTTTAAAATATTATTTTTTGAAATTATTGATAATATTCTTATGCAATTAAACATCAGATTTCAAGATACAGATAAATTACTCTTTTTACAACTAGCTGACGTAACTAAATTTGAACAATATTCCAGTAAATTTCCAGAAAATGCTTTTAATGATTTGAAATCAACTTACTCAAATATATTTAATGATGCAAAAAAGTTAAAAGTAGAATTGGAAGTTTTGTATAGCGATGTAAAATATCAAAATCTAAACCACATTAATGACATGCTTAAAATTTTTGAACATTTTTCATTGAAAGACGTCCTACCAGAAGCGTATAAACTATTTGTTCTCATTTTAACTATACCATCGACTAGTGAGTCAGCTGAAAGACATTTTACTTGTCTCGAGAAGATTAAAACCTATTTGCGAAATAATATTTCCGAGTCACATTTGAGTTCTCTTGCAATACTGTCAATCGAAAAGTCCTTGATTCAAAAACTTAAAGAAACTGAAACTTTTTATGATAATATTATAAAATTGTACGCTAGTCAAAAAGATAGGGGTATAAATTTAACATATAAAGTATAATATTCTTGTTTTTATTATAATGGTTATCCGAAAAAAGTAACTTAATTAGGTACTATGAATTTAGTGTGCCTATCGTAATATATTTATTCACAAAAAAATAAGAATAATAATTTTACAAATATTTTTTGATGTAAGCAATTCATAATTAAAAGTAATTAATTTATCATTTATTATTTTCTCTATTAGCTGTAAGTATTTAATTTAAAATAATAATCATAACATTATCATATATTTTTAGCATATCAATATTACAATATTATACTAAGTCCATTATTAATAGATATTTTTTCAATGACTTTCCCCAACACAATCTTATATTTTTCTTTTAAAGCCAATTTAGAAAGAATTTTTTGTTGTTTTCATTTTAAAATGGTCTTAATGATTTTCCAGTCCTCTCGCAAACCTCCATTAAAGTTCCATCCCGTCCATCCCGCTCAAAGGCCCTCTTCTATGTCCCGCACGCCACTACTAACATATGGCTAATGTGCCTTTTAGGGCCGATTTCACCAACACAGTTAATCACGGTTAAGGTTAACCGGAGTTTTAATCGGCCGAATTTGGCCGGTTAAATATCTGTTATCAGCCGATTAAGCGTTAACCGTGATTAACTGTGTTGGTTAATTAATTTACTGTGTAAGACGTTTAATGTCGTCTGCCAATGCAGGACCTTCCTTTGACGAATTGCTAAATTTTTAATGTACAAATTTAAGTTAAAGTTTTTTGTTTTAATGTTTAAGTTTTTATTGCCATCAAATAATTGTATTTAATATTAATGTAATCTGTATATTATATTTAATTTAGTTTTGTCTTATTGTAAAATTTCTATCATGATATAAAATATACATTGTAATGTCAAAAAGGGCTAAGCCCGTATAATAAATAATAGAATTAAAATCTTTAGGATTATTCATTTAAAAACCGTTAGTTTTGGGAATTTTATTTTGTTAACAGTATTTTTATAACAATTAGTTTTTAGTTAGTCCTTTTTAGGACAGAAATTAAAATTTTTTTTTTTTACCATCTATTAATATAATATTATATTTTATGTAAAACAAATTATTATTATTAGATACATGTATTTAAGTGTGTACCTATAATGTATTTATGTTAATTAATTTTTTCTTAATCTCAATAAAACCCCTAATATTTGAGGGAAGTGTAAATAATTGAATACCTTGTACGATAAGCTAATCCGATCAATCGGTTCAAGAGCCAACGCTATTTGTTGGATATGTCTGGCGTACATGTCGACGACCGGTTCGTATACATAAATACTGATCTTTTTGTAGGAATGTTTGTACCGTTTGGCCAGCGTTTGTAGCAAGTGGCGAGTGTCGCCGGCGCTCACGATCAGTATATTTAAATGTCCGTCGCCGACTTCACCGTAGGCAGCCAGATCAAGACACGGGCTCGAACCCCACAACATGACGATCGCAATTTGCAGTGGTGTAACGTATATTCAAGCAATACCTATCTACCTATCCGATGGACAAACGTCTCGGCATCATCTCGCGACGGAACGAATACATGTTAATTCGATATAATTATTAATAATATTATATACGATTATATTATTATTACGAGTCCTTAATATTGTGTTTCGTAACCACCGATCAAACACCTTCGACGCCAGCCGATCGCGTTTGCGCTTTGCCATGGCAACGGACGATCGTTGGCTGCGTAAAACGATGTTCGATGTTAATTTAAAGATGGAATTACCGCGGGAAAGTTTCCAACCGATTATCGGTGACGCACGTTTTTTAAAATTTCATCGTTATCACATATACCCACGGGCCGTGACGTCATAACAAACGTCGGATGCCAAGAGAAAGTTCGGATTCTGATAATGTGTTGGCGGCCCGCGGCCCGCGAAAGCAACAAGTGACGGGCAACGGCGTATTATTATTAAATAAAATATTTTTATACCTGTCAAATTCATCGCAACGGAGAAATTACCGTCCTTGCTCCATTAATTAATGCCGATCGGTCATTATTGTGGATCGATGTGAAACAAAAATCGTTCACCAGCTCGACGGACTTTCGTTGTTTACACATCTCGGGACGAAAATTTTGTTTGCATGTCATAATGGATCCTGCGTCGTCTTCGACCGTGTCGAACGACTTTGCCAATACTTTGATATCCGTTCTCCGGCTGCCGACCAGGGAACGATTGTCGTGCATGTTGAACGCCACGAAAGTCATTCCATCACCCGAAAAATTACCCAGGTATGTCACGATTTCAAATATGTCTAAAAATTTTTTGTAAAAATTCTTCAACTGCGTTGGAATGAACAATGAGTTAACTATCAGCGATAAGTGGTCGTGTTGAATAATATTTGATAGCTGTAGTGGTGTTTGGAAAAAAAAGCCCCACAATTAAAATACAGTAAAAAAAAAGTCCGTATCAACTAGACTAAAAAATTTTTTATTGTTGTGTACATTTTATGGATTTTACAGTTATTTAAAATTTTTAAATTTTTAAAGTGTTACATAAATAAATAATATAATGTATTTAGTTGGTACGGGGCTTTTTGTTTCCTAGATTTGCTGTAGTACACTAGTATCACTACAATGTTTACGGGCTCTTCCCGAGTTTATATGCATATTAGAATTCATAAATATTGAAATTCAAAATCTAGGAGGGTACTATTTCAATATCAATGTTCTGCTGGTACCTTCTTGACATTGACACTTTTAAGATTCTAGTAGAAGTAAAATACCTAAGCTTAATAGTCGTTTTGTATAAATTAAACCGTTTATAGGGATTGGAGAGGATTGTGCACACTTTTGAATTACATAATACCATCAGGATGTGATCCAACTGACCCGATTGGTAAAATATTCAAGTTTTGTGAAGCCAAAACTACTATAGCACATTTTAAACGGTGTCTAGAACGAATAGACAGGTATGATGTTGTGGAAGAGACCGAAGAATTATTTAGTGAGTATTATTTACACATATTACATTAATTTAAAACCTTGTATTCATCGGGTAGACATTACTATTATTATGTATTTATGTTTCTAGTTTCTGATATTATATATTTTAAAGAACAATGTGCTTTAGCAAAATATCCAACTCCAGAAGTACCGAACGATTTTGACATCAATAACATTACTATAGGTGCATTTTATTTAAATTATACTTGTAAAAAAAAAAAATTATGATTGTTTTAAATGGTTTTTAGATGATATAAATTCATCCAAAAATGGTCTTCCTCTTACAAGATATGATGCATTTTTACTGTATGATACGGCAGATACACGATCAGCTGCCGCTGTAGTAGACAAATTAGAAACTGATTTCAAGCTGAAGGTAATAATAATTTATTTAAAAGCATATTTTTTCTTATCCATGGCCGGTAAATTTGTTTCATAACAACTTACTATTATTAAACATTTGTCTTTGAATCCCTACATAATATAATGTAAATGTTCCTAACTTAGTTTTGTAGAAAATCCAGCAAATAATGATAATAATAAACATACATTTTTAACATCAAATAATTAAATCATATTACCTATTTAAATTAATAATATCTATAATATAGAATAATACTCAAGAACATTGTTTAAGGACTTTCTTTATTTTAATTGATATAATAATAATGATAATGCCAAATGTTTTTTTAAACAAAATAAAATCAGAATAAAAATATAAAATTACAAAAACGTTTATTTTTGTGTATGTACAAAGTAATTTAAATGTTGGTACATTTTGAAAATAAGTGACATAAGTGAGTTATTTTCTAAATATGTGACTCAATTTTAAAAAGGTGTCTTACTTAAAAAAGTGATCTACTTCCAGCCCTGCTTATCATGTAAGTCATTACTTCAGTATGTTCAGTTATGTTACATATACCCAATGTATGAAATTGGTTTATATCTCGGTCTGGAGATAAAACATATTATATTTAAGGCTTCTTATGATAAATATAAAAAAAAAGCTTAAATTAGTCCGGTCCAAGATTTACATAGTAAAAACTACCAACTGATGATAATTGTATGTATGTTCTTTTATTGTTTGCATATGTAATTTATTTACATTTAAAAAATACAATATAGTTATATAAACATTAATAGTATATTTCTTTTAAATAATTCAGCAAAATTGAAAATTGACTAAAAAAAATTATAATTACTCAAAATGATCCTATTTAAATTTTGTTAAAAATATTTGAGTGTGAATTACAGTGCTTGGTTATTGTGTAACTAGATTTAAATCCTACATTTATTTCTAAACATAGTACTTTATTATCAGTTTGAAAGTTAAAATAAAAGAACAAACATTTAAATAATAACAATAAAAAAAAAAAATGTGCACAATTTCAACTTTTTTTTTAAATTTTTATATGCAATCTACGATCTATACCACATGGCACAATAAGTAGATGTGAATGAGATTAGTCATATATACAAATAATTAAAAAAAAATACATCATATTCTTAATAATATTTGTACATAATACATGAAAAATTTTTGAGGGAAGCGGCCACCCATTAGTAACACTACTAACACTTCAATTTGCCTTAATAATTTCAACTTAAATGTTTTTATATAATTAAAATTGATTTTAAGTAGCAACAATTTTCTACTGGCTTTAGGGCTAAATTATTTTAGATTTATTTTATAATTACTTTTCATTATGTTAACTTCTTAATCTGGTGTAACTAACAAAATATTATAGTTATTTAATTATGTAAATCGGGTGATTTTGTTCCAAACACGTCTACAAACGATTTAAAATTAATAATTTATTTTTCACATGTACAACATGAAATTTTCTCTACATAAAAAACAGTATATTTATAATACTTTCAAATCAATATAAGCTTATTTTGAAGTTCAACAGGTTTACTAATTATGTTTTATATTTTTCAGCTATGCTTAAGAGAACGAGATTTAAGACCAGGTGTTATGTTCGAGTATCAGTCTATAATAAAATTGATATCTGATCGATGTAATTGGTTAATCATTATAGTTTCAAATGATTTTTCAAACAGCCCTTGGAATAGATTTATTGTGAATTATATACAGTCGTCAGCCATTGGTAAGATTAGGAATAATTTTTACATTATTTAGTTATGTTTAAATTGTAATGCTCAGTATTTTTGTTGTAGAAAAACGGAAACCTAAAATTATTCCATGTGTATTTAATGATTGTGTATTACCCGAAGAACTTAAATGTTATGTTCACTTATATTTTAATAAATATAATCCTTTTTGCGACCCATGGCAAAAACTAATGATAACTGTGTCACCTTCTACGAATCTAGCGTTGACCGACAGGCTAGACATTTAATTGTTTTTTATATTAATAATGTAATTATTGATATTAAATAATTATTTTCTTTTATTAGTGTGAAGCAAAATAACAGTTACCAGAAGTTAAAAATCGAGAAACCTGTGAATATCAATACTACAAATGTAGATAAAAAAAAAGTGATAAAGTTTCCGAGTGAAGAAAACAAACCGCAGCCTAAACGCAAAAGTGTTTTTGATAGATTAGTTAAGAATGTCGGAAATATATCTGTTAAAGTTGTTCCTAAAAAATGGAGTGAAAAGAAAGTAAAATGCACTAGTCTATGACTCAATGTTCTTGTCTGTATACAGATAATATCGATAAGTTTCAATACTAAAGATATCGTTTTTACATAGAATTTTACCGTTTAATCTTTGTTATGTTTTAATGTTATTATGTTTGTGCTTAATCTAAATTGTATTCAAATATTTAAGTTTTATATTTTTTTTATTATAAAATCTATTCTTTATATTATACAGACTAGTGCTTTTTAGTTTTTTAATTGTATTATCAAACATGAATAGAAAAATAATTGTATTGTCCTTTTTTGGTGAATTAGATGGATAATAATGCCCGACACTTTTAATAGACAGATGAATATTTTGTAAAAACAAGTTGTTATTTTTATTTCAGTTTTCATTATGTTTTTATTATTTTATAAGTATCATTAGATTGTGCTGTACAATTGTATTTGTATATTCCTTAAAAATATTCTCCGATTTAATTTCCTTGAAAAAGAGAAATAGATGATTGAGATGCATACATTTTAAATAATTTTTAGAATAGTGCGTCTTACTCCTGGAACCTTTGGTTTGAATTTTAACAAAGTTCATCAAATTAAAAGTTGAATAAAAATGCGGGTAAGTGGATGTCACTCTGCTGTACAGTATGTTACAAGTGAGCCACTGCAATGGATGGTGTTAAATTTGAATTCAATGATATAAAATCAATGTACCTATCCCAAAAACGATTCTGATCGAAGGCGGTCTGTTAGCATATAATATTATTACTAAGGTAGTTAATTTTAGTATTGGTCGTTAGTCTATTACAGAAAGTTAAATTCATTTTTTGACTATGTCATTATGTGTATAAAATATAATAATATAGGTACTCTATTCACGAATAATACTTTTAATTATTATTTTGGTACCAACTAGATTCAGTGTCTGATTCACTTTCCTATCAGAAAAGATACTATTGAAATAATCTAAGCATTTTTACTGTCTTGAAAGGTGTTAACAGACATCCATAAAAAATGGCACACACATCATTGTAAAACCAATACTTTCATCGCGCCGCTCAGAATCTAAAAATTATTTTATGGTTAAAAATGTATAAAATGTTCAACTTTTAAGGGATATTGGTCTTGGTATACCTAATTATGTGAGAGTGGGACCGGTATTAAATTTTCTAACTTTTTGACTGCGTAAATGTTTTTTCTATTATAATACGTTTGTAAAATAAGTACATACAATATTGCATGGACTTAGATACAGGGGGGGGGGTGATATGTTGGACCTTTTTAGGATGTGGGTGGAGCGATTAATGTATTAGGGTTTTTTTTTTTGTGCCATTCATCACCTTATTAGGGACAGTAAAAATTAATAGATTTTCTACCTCAGATCTTTTCTGGTAGGAATAAGTGAATCTAGTTGTTACAGTTTTTGGGTCAAATATGAGAAATTCCTAGTAGTTTTCAAAAGCGTCGGAAAAAAAGGTGCTCTGCTGTACAGTAGGTTACAAGTGGGTCACTGCAGTATAATGGATGGAATTAAATTTGAATTCAATGATATATAACATTGCATAAGAAAAACGATTTTGAGCGAAAACGGTTAGTCAGCCTATGATATTACGAAGTATATTTGATGACACTAAGGTGAATTTACGTAGAATCTTGTTTTAAATTCTCAATCATTAGCTATAAAAGTTTAACATTTATAAAATGTTTAACTATAGAATTAATATTAAATTTTAAATGTGATAAATTTGAACTTTAAATGCTTATAAAAAAAAATCGTGCCTTTGTATTTTTATCTAATATTTTTCAAGTGTTGTTGTAACAATATATCAGGAGCTTTGCATTAAATTTTCACGGTTTTTTTACCCAACAAATAGAATTTTATTGATTTTATAGAAAAAAAAATTTAAAACTGAAAATGTCCGTAAATAGCTCAGATTCAAAATTATATGGTGTATAGGAAATGCTAATATAAACATTCAGTAAAATTTTAAAGTAACTACAGTCATTCGTTTTTTAATTACAACAAAATTAGAAAATCGTTACATGAGAAATCGAGTGAATATCAAATGTTGTAAAAATATGAATTTCAAACGTTCATAAAAATTGAATTTGAGTTTTTGTAGACATTTTTTTTTAGTACCCACGAATGATATTATACAATCCCAATAAAATAACTAAAATGGTTATTCTAGGTTTTTTATTATGCAATTTCGTCCAAATTTGAACTTAAAATGACTATAAAAATAAACTGTGCTCATGTATTTTTAGATTTTTTAGTAACAGAATTAACTATACTTACGTGGAATCTTGTTTTAAATATTCAATCCTTAGATTTAAAATTTGAATATTTTATAAATTTTTAACTACAAAATAATTATTCAATTTTAAATTTGTTACATTTTGTCAGAATTCGATTTTTAAATGCTTATAAAAAAAAATTAAGCCAATGCATTTTTAATATTTTTCAACTGATATTGTAACAATTATCAGGAGCCTTGTATTAAATTTTTACACTTTTTGGCCCAACACATAAAACTTTATTGATATTTATAGAAAAAAAGATTGAAAATGTCCGTAAACAGTTCAAAAAGAGTCAAAATATTTTGAAAATGCAAATATAAACAACCAGTGAAAATTTCATGTATCTACGGGCATTCGTTTTAAAGTAACACCAAAAACCAAATTCGATTTTGCGTAAAAATTCCCTTTTTTCCTTAATTTTTCTTGGCACTTTTGAAAATTACTGGGAATTTTAAATTTTGACCTTCCCAATGCACCAATAATATTCACATTCCAATCGAAGCATTATTTCGACTACTTATCGTGTACACAGACACAAAAAAAATAAACACACATCATTGTAAAATCAATACATTCATCGTTCCACTCAGAATCGAAAATCTTGAAGAGGTAGGTAGTTCTGTTTATAAGTATAGATTATGTATTCCAAGTTTCAATAATTTTGATCAAATAGATTCTCCGAAACCTTAAGAAATATACCAATAACTGGTCCACTTCACCCCGTTCTACGGTACTATTGAAATAAATCTAAGCATTTTTACCGTCTTGAAAGGTGTTAACAGACACAAATAAAAATGACACACACATCATTGTAAAACCAATATTTTCATAGCTCCTCTTAGAATCTAAAAATTATTTTTTGGTTAAAATTACTCATTTATTAAAAATCCATTAAATATGTATTTATGAACAAATATTCAATCTAATTATGCAAAATAAAATTTGGTGTGAATTAAACCGCGGACATTTAAAAACCCTCTAGACGTGCCTACACTTAGTACAAATATGGAAATGCATATAATTCTGGGCTTTAATTATGATGAATAAAATATTGATAGGTACCTACTTTTGATTATCAAATAGATTATTTGTGCATCCCAACGAAGCAGTTTATTTTGTCGGCTTATGAAAAGCAACACGATTGGTAAAAAAATAATATAGTATATACTTACCTGTAATCATGACACCATGCGTCCATGCACCTTAAATCACAACCAACACACACTGGTTGAAGATGGCAAAATAATTGTAAATCATGATTGTTGCATACTAGTATGTACTGTATTCCTATACAAGTCACAACAATTTATTACAAATAGTCGTAGTCGGTAGACAGTATTAGATAACCTGTCATTAATTTTTATAAGTAGGACAATCAATTTATTGTTTGAAGATCGTTTTTTGCTATTATTACTATTTACGACTGCGAAAAAACCTAGGGAGCATTTTCACGTAAATATAAGTGGAACACGGTGTGATGTCTGATGGCCAGGCACAGCTTTCAAAAAAACACCGAACTGGCGTCTGCATCTTTAGCTCGACGAACATCGAAGTTCAATTTACACCGGTAATGACTAGTGACTAGATATTTTAACCAGGCTTTCAAAATAAAAATTTTCCTCCTTTAAAATCAGAAGTACCAATGTTACAAAACACTTGTAAGTTGTAACTTTTCAAGCATTTACAAATTATGTATATTTTTTCTACAAGATTCGACGACAAGCCGAGACTGAGGTACTGGGAGACAGTGACATAATAAAACGTTGTTTGATATAATTACTGTGTAAGTAGTTGTTTTAAATAGGTACACAATTATAATATTATTACGTAATAATGTACAACGCGTAAGCCCAATTTTTTTAAACACAATGACTAACAGTAACATACTAACATCACCAAACCAAAACACAATATTATAAATTGACGTCACATACTTTTAAAAACATAAAAAAATGTATTATTTACTCTTTATTCATATCAATACCGGTTTTTTTTCAAACAATACACAAAGTAGCTAGCAGCTCCTTGAGTTAATTGGAAATTCTGACAATACACCGAACTTACATAATTTATCGTTTTTATTTACGCCATTTGTAATTTTAGCGAGTTTGCACAAGCTCAACCGGATGGTATAAAATCTTAGACATGCGCACTCCGGTTAGAACAGAATGAGATTAATCCGGCCCATTTTACAATAGTGTATTTAAAAAACTGAGCTTTTGGTGTTGGTACTGTTTTGAAATAGTTTTTGAAAATTACATGCTAGGTATGGTATAGGAAATACAAAATAAGTGTTTTTTTTAATCATTTGACTGAGCAGTGGCTGTATAAACATATCTACATTTTATAAAATAAATAAATTGTTTTAAACCTTAAAAACCATTAGTTTACAACTATGATAACTCAACTAATTACAATATTATATAATATATATATATTCAGAATTATAGACACATTACATACCTACTACCTACTACCGGTTAGGTTAGGTTTATTTAGAATAGTTAGAAAATCCAAATGTTTAAAATACAATTAAGGACTAGTTAAAAGAAAAAAAAATTATCAAGTATTAGTATATAAACCGAGTGGTAGTGCGGATTTAGTCTACGATTTAGCTGGGAATAAAATGTCGGTTTAATTTGTTACAAAAGATTACGATGTCGATTTTACCAAATAAATCATAAAGAATTTCACTTCAGAGTATGGAATAAAAATTGGCCAATTATAAAAGTATTTAGCATTTTGATCAGTAAAAATAGTTAAAAAAATTCCTATTATTGTTGTTCAACACCTACCAGTTCTGCTTTGAAGCATAAAATTGCGTTAAAAGTTTGCACTTTGTAGAATATTATGTACCTACTGTATAACCTACGATTTTATTTATTATTCAACACAGAATGTATTAATGGCGACTAATTAGTTGATATTTTATAGAAATTCATTTTCTCAAAAACTATTATATTGTTATCTAACTACTTGTATAAAGATGTAAAATATTTGTGTGTATATATTTTCTAATTGACAAAATAATTAAATGCATATAGCTTATTATATGATATGCATATACCTAATTGAACAATATACAAATAACATTAAAATGGCAGTTAATGAATACTAATATAATATATATATAGGGATTCACAGTTGTTAGATTTATTTCCTTTAAACATATTATTATATATTAGGCATTACTTAATAGTATTAGTACATTCATCATAAAATGTTACATACCTATATGGCTATACAAAAATGAATAACATACTAGGACACTACCGCTATTTTTAAGTTGGGAATTAAGTCCTACTTCTACAAGAGTACTTAATTTAACTTATAAAATTAGGAGGGAGGGAGTATGTTGCTCATTTATTTATATTGTTTCATCATTAGGTATATTATTATTATTATATTATTTTATCACTATTATTAAAAAAATATTCTAGTAACAGTAAATCACTAATCATCATATTTATTATTTATATATATTAATTACCTTACAATATTTCATGCAAGAAAGCACTAATTATAATATTATACAAAAGATAAAAATTAACAAATATTAATCAATTTTTATTTTTGTAATTTTATTACCTTTGTTCATAAGTATCACAATTAAAAAAAAATAAAACAATGGGGGTATTCATGTTCTTTATATATACATTTTAGAATAGTGCAAGAGTTAACACAATTTGAATACCTAATAAGAATGTAATATATGACGGAAATTTAATTAAAAATTGGCAACACAATATAGTTGAATCATAGGTAGTAATAATTGTCGGTAATATATTGAAAAATATAGGATAATATTTAAATTGCAGTTGGAAAAAATTAGATAATACTTTGTTTAAAAACATGAAACATGGAAATAAAGATACCTAAGAGGAAGTGACTCATACAAACATGACGTGTTGCCTCTTACGAACACAGAACATAGCAAATTTTACATTCAGAATAAATTTTACTCTGTTATTTTGACCTATTACCAAATTTTAAGTAAAGTATAAGACAGGGAGGTTATTATTTTTACATTTTAATTTGTAAGCAATTTAGGGCCATTTAAAATTAAAATACAAACAATTATATATGGCACCACATTAAAGTTTTACCTTTAAATTTGATGATCGATCAATCTCATAAATCATAATACAACTCTAATACAAAAACAAGTCATAATATATTATAACGTCCTCTCCCTTAAAGCAATGTAACAAATTAAAATTAAAATATAACAATTAAAATAAATTTCTTTTCAAAGTTGTATTAGACATTTGTAAATAATATTAAAATTTACTACAACAATTTTTTTTGGTTAGTTATGGTCATCATGTAGAAATAATCAGATTACAAGTAAGAAGTTGGCTTTGAAAAATATTGTTCAAAATTTTAAAATAGTTAATATTTACACATAATTAAAGTTTATAATGAGGCAGTATTTTCTTTTATCTTTATAGGAATACATAATATATATATAAATGGTTAGAATTTAATTAACTCCTGATAAATCTGCCTTCCATAACCCTATCGAGTTTTTTTTTATCATTGGTACGCAAAAATGATTTCATATTTATTATAAAATATAAACTAAACTATTATAGTAATTATAACCACAAGGTTTAACCAAAAATATTTTTTAACAAATGATACAAATTTATCATTCCAGTTAACTATCCCAAAAGTTTTCATTCACGTTGTGCAGGGATTGACAACCCGCGACGCGATTACAATTTAACATTGGTATAAAAATGTGCAATGTCACATTAAGTTAGTCGATAATGTTAATAATAAATTAATATACCAAAGAGCTATGAAACTAAATGAAATTAAAATAAAATAAGGCGTACCTATGGCCTGTTTTTTTTTTAATTTTTTAATTTTGTGGCCCTTGACACCATAAAGGTTACCGACCCCTTTTAAATTGGTACCATTCAACTTGGTACCATTTGATAAAATAAACATTTAAAAATAATATCAAAATGGTAAAATTTAGGTTCTTACCTAATTAAATTATCAATAATTTATTATAGGTATTAAAAATCACTTAATTATCAACGGTTTGTTTACTTTAATAATAGAAAAAAAAGTATAGCTTATATTAATTAAAGTATTAAATGTCAGTAGTTGAACATATTGGAATTTTTCAATAATCAGCAGAAACTATTCAAATATTCAAATAAACCTATTCATTTTAATAGATATATTTTTCTGAACAAAACATACAAGATGTATGTTTAATAGAAATAATAAAATTCATTGATATGTTTTATGTGTATTTATGAGAACGAACATTCGTGGGAGTTTAAGTTAAGTAAAATTTATTTTATTTATCTGACTCACCAGTTAGAATACTCTTACAATTAGCTTTCTGAAAGTATTTTAAGGGAAACAATTTTATTATGAAATTCTCACCCTGACATCTATCAAGTAATACAAATAATAATAAGTCACACTGTTAAGTACGTATATAGAAAAACATATTTTAATTCATTTTGAAGGAGAGCAGATTATACATTTTTCCAAAACAATGAATTATATTCTATTATGAGTTAGAATACTTTTTAACATATAAATTTTTAAATTGAAATGGATCAGTCTTTTAAAAAAAAAATTATTACCTAGAAGAGGATACTTTAATTTTATTATTTAATTACAAACATCTAAATTTATCCAAATATTTATAGGCAAGATCACTAAAAATGTTTTATCAACATCAATAACATAAATACCAATGTCCAATGGTCTCTATTAATGACAAAAACTAAAATAAATTCACTAATGTACCATAAAAATAAAAATAATGTAAAATTTTTCATTTTTTCATTATATTTGGAACTTTTTAAATCAAATGTTTAATACACTTTAATAATATTACAATATGTACATACAACATAGTAAATTGCACAACATGTAAATTATTAAAGCAAGTAATATTGTCTAAATGCGCATAATTTGTCGCGTGATCTGAAACAAGCAACAGAAGTATGTCAGAAACAATTTTTCAAAATATCAAATATAAATAAATAATTATTTAATAAGGACATGTTAACAAATTTCGGAAGCAAACATCTATTATAAATTGTGGATACAAGTGAGTGTGTACATATATATATGAATATATATATATAATATTTAACAAATGTATATATTAAATAATGTTAGTTTTTTTTTTTATCATAATAATTATTTTTTTTTTTACGAAAAATTACTAGAAAATTACCTTTCCCAATGTCAGGCTTCAGTTCAAGACACCAGACATTTCCCACTGAAATTTATAAAATCAAACACATTTCCACAAGACAATAACACAAAAATATTTATGACAGTAAAATTATAAAATAGATTTTCATTTGTTTGGACATTGGTATAATTAAAAACCCTTAACTCAGTACAAACCTTGTAATTGTTGGTGCCACATGCTGTGAACAAGGTAAAAATAAATTAAACAAACATTTCACACATGACAAATTTTAGTTATATTATTTATAAATGTATTTTTTTCTAAGATAAATAATTATTTAGTTAAACATATGTAATTTTATTATAATATAAGGTATTAAAATTATAGTGGTTTTAAAAGTTTTTACCAAGTTTTGTGCCAGAAAAACAAAGAATATCAAAAATCTAACCTAACAAACCAACGAAAGTATAACTAAAAACATGCGTAGTTTTTGTATGTTAAATAAATATATATTATATATATTTTTATACAAATTAAGTAACTTTCAAATTTTTTTTTAACCAAAGAAAATACAAATTAACAAAAATCATCTATTCATTTAATATAAAATTCTAGACAAAACTTGGTAAGTAATAATTAAATTATAAAACATTTTACTTAACTATATTATAAGAAAGGTCCTAAATGCCAATTTGATAAATTGTCAAATGAAAAAATTGTTTTATCAATGCTGTGAACCTAATGAAATATTATGCTATACAAATCCAAACTTGAAATTTTCCAAAATTTCACTCTTACTTGAAATAACTCACAATGTAATAAAATGTATATGTAATAAAATGTATATGTAATAGCATATTATGTGTTTAAATGGAGATAAGAAAAACTTAATAAACACATTTTATAGAATAGTAATGAATACCGTTGTAATCAAAAGTAACATGATTATACCACTATAACCATAGCTTCAGGTATATTATGGCGATTTTACCTAAATATATATACCAATCGCCAAAACTATAAAATAAACAATGTGGTTTTTTTTTCATATTTTTTTTTTTTGCGCTACAAAATGTCTTTACAATTAAGTATAGTACATAATTAAACATAATTAAATATACTAATAGAAAAAAAAAATGCGTAGAGAAGACAAAACTATTTGTTTATTGATTTAATATGAATGGACCTGACCATAGCGAGGATATCCCTGGTATCTGGACGTTCTGCAATAACACAGTTAATAGTATATTTTTGACGTAAGTCCTGAAATGGCATGTTAAGCAAAATATTCATGTATATAAAAAACGATGTTCGCTTTTTTAAATTAAAAAAAATGCAATTATAATCTTAGAAACATGAAGCATATATATTTGTTGCTTTTATTATTCCCTTACCTCATTGTTGTTGTGGTGGATCTTGTTGTGGAACTTGCTGATAACCTGCATACGCATTTCCTGCAGCAGGATAAGCACCATATCCAGTAGGTGCAGCACCAGGATTCTGTGCTCCATAATAACCTCCTGCTCCGTAAGCCATACCATACTGTGCACCATACATAGATACATCATTCAATGTTTGGGGTTGTCCTGATTGAGGGCTTGAGGCATTAGGTTGTTGCTGTTGCTGTTGAGGCGATTGTTCTGATCCACTTGGTTGACCATTAGTTTGAGTTGGTAGACCCATTTGCTATAATAATTATTATTATACAGTTTTAATTTTAATAGTTATAATAAAAAATGCACAATATGCAAAACATTTCTGCCTAAAGTAGGACAAAGTATGCTTATTGCTTAGTCAAACTTTGTTATTTTACGTTTTAGCAAGAATAATAATTAACTATTACAGTAAAACAAGTCCCAAACCCTAGTTGTACGTATTTTAAGTCTACTTACTCTTGCTTTAACTTGTTGTTCAACCATATCAGCTTCTTTATTTTTTCCAATTGATCTATAATACTCTATCCACTGCGCACTGTAATCGGGAGTCCCTGCACCAGCACTTCCTCCAGCACCACTTCCACTGCCATTAGCAGAAATTGCAGCGACTGGCATAACACCAGCAGCTCCATTTGGAGGAATTGCATGAGGTTGAGGTTGGACGCTAGCAGGATTTGGTACAGCACTAGTTCCATTCATCTGATTAAACTGAAAAAATTAGGTCTTGGCTCATCCAATAAAAAAAATCTAACAGGCAAAATGATGATAGTTAATAGTTCTATAAGATGTCTATAGATATTTAGTAAATTGTAAAAATTAAATACTTTGTCAGTAACATACTATGACAATTTATTGGTAACATATTTGGAGACACTGATTAACCACCCCAAAAATTAATAATTAAAATATTATTTTCCCTTCATTAGCAAAGTTAAAAAGTTTTTCTGAATCTTAAGTCTGAAGGATGAGATTATTGTGATTTACCTACCATATAAAAAATGGGAATAGCAGATGATAATATCTGGAATAACAAAAAAATATCGAATAGATACAGAACCTACTTGTAACACATATCATTGCACAGAAGTAGTTTATTATTATTATAAGAAAATTGAATAAATGATATCTGATTTTAAGCAAATCTTGAAATTTTAGTTGACTATAGCAATACATTAAGTGATTTTAGGCTTAATATTATATTATATTTATTCCACTTGACAAATATTAAGACAAAAACTTATGATTTTGTACAAATTTTAGCATCATATATTATAATCTAATAAAAAAATATGTATAAAAAACAAAACAAATTATGTAAAAGTCATTAAGTAATGTGCACATACCTTCATTTGTTTGGCTTGCTGTTCAATGAATTCAGCTTCTCTGTGCATTCCCATAGATCTATAGTACTGTATCCATTGTGCACTAAAGTCTGAGCCCCCCTGGGCACCATTAGCATTCGACATAGGATTTGTATTATCTGCATTAACATAAATCAAATATTTGTTACAATTAAAGTAGAAAATTAAAGTATAAAATAGGTTGTGTTTTTTTTTTTTTTTGACAACGCAGTTTTAAGTAATCTTGTTATTACTCTAACTATATTAACAATATTGTTATAAAACTATCAACTGTCGTAGCAATATTGCAACAGTTGTCAAGTTGTATTGGTAAAACACACCTATTGTAACATTCACAAAACTTAAGAACTTTGAATACTTGTACATATATTTTTTTTTTTTTATTCAAGTAACTTAGTTATTGAGTTTATTATTTTTGATTTGTGAAATATGTTTACTCTGATCAGTTGGTTGTTGTGGTTGTTGCTGTTGTTGCATACTTGGATTCCAACCTTGACCATATGCATTCATTTGTCCATCTTGTCCACCCCAAGCCATTTGAGAACCATATGGTGGTTGTGGCTGCTGCTGCTGCTGGTTCATATTACTATAGTTCTGAGAACCACCATTAGGATCCTGCTAATAAAATATGAATAAAAACAAATATATTCAATAAAAAATGAATTAAATAATGTACATACAAAACCTAATTTTTCATTTATCATGCGTTTAGCATTTTCGATTTGCTCTGTTGTCCCACGTATAACAAAAGTTTTTTCAGAACCTGTATTATTGTGCCGTCTATCAATTTCACAATGTGCACCGGTTTGCATATTAATTTGTTTAATTGTTTCACCACCTAAAATTAAAAATAACAATAAATTTAAGAAAACAATCATATACGAGAATCAAACCGAAAACATACCTTTTCCAATAATAACTCCACATTTAGCTGATGGCACGGTAAATGTTGTTTCATTTAATGGTTGTGTTTGACCACTATTACCCCAACTTTGATTTCTATTGAAATTACCACCGCCTCCACCACCACCGCCACTCTGTCGATTACCACTACGGTTCTAAAAAATAAAATAATTTATTTTGTTAAATCATACTAACATTTAAAAAAATTATGTTTACTAGATGCATATTATGTAAATTTCTTACCAAAGCGCTATCGACTAATGATTCTATTCTTTGTTTAGCTTCAGCCACCTGATCTGGATTACCAGTGATCAAACATCTTCTATCATCAGGTGTATCTTCATTGAGGTTAATAAACTGGACTTTGGCACCGGTATCAGCTTGGATTTTTTTAATCATATCGCCACCTTTTCCAATAACTAATCCTACAACTTGTTTTGGTACACCAACCTAAACATTATGATAACATGGTAAATACTAAATAAATGTATACATAAGAATCTTTATGTAGTTGTGTCTTGTATGTTAATATCGGATAAAAGTGGTTAATCAATTAATACTGCATTATAAATTAGCATATATTCTAGTAGCCTGGTGTTGTAAACTATCAGTTATAATATATTTAAATAGAACCTAATCCCCAAACAGCATAATTGAAAAGTTTATTATTTATATAACCTTAAAAAGAAACAAGTGATTTATTATGTACTTTTTAATGTATGCAAGTGCATGGCATATTCCACAAAAAAATTAAAATAATACTAGTTAACAGTATATAATTTTAATACAACTACTCAAATCCATTTATTATTAAACATTTCAAGAAAATACTGCTTATTTAAAAGAATTTAGTCAATTAATAGAATTATTATACATTATAACAATCATAAAAAAATTAACACTTCATCATTGAATTGTCCTTCCAATACATGCCTCATAAGCCAATTGTAATTTAATTTAAATAAATATCTAATAAAAACTAATACATAAATATTGTAAGTTATATGATAGCATAAAAACAGCATAAAATTATAAGAAAATTAGGGCAACTTATAAAATATTCTATTAGATATAAATACATTAAATTAAAATAAACTAAATTTTATAATAATTACCTCAACTTTGCCACCATAACCAGAATGCATACTGTAATCACCGCTGTTTGAACCATTCCAATTTGACCCGTTCTGATCAAAATTGGACTAGAATTAATAAAAAATAAACAAACTGTTATAAATATATAAATCAGAGGTATGATTATAAAGTTAATGATTAGTTCCTTTTTTAAAACACATTATAACTTTTACTCAAAGAAAAATTATGATGGTAAAAAATAAGCCAATATAATATATAGGATTTCATAAAATAATCAATACAAACTAATGTTTTTTTTTTAATTATCTTCTAAAAACATTTTCATTGTTATCTTTATCATAGTAAGTATTGTTTAACAAGGCCTTTTTTGATTATAATCTTACTTAATTAGAAATGAACAAAACAAAATCAATGTAACAATAGACCTCAGTTATATTTAGTAGTTGCTATTTAAAATATAATTGTATGGTATTTATATTCTAAACATCCCATTTGAAACTAAACATAAACCCAAAAGATAAAATATAGTAACTTGTAAGGTTTCTAGTCGATATTATTGTTCAAATAATGAGAATAAAATAGTTTTCAAATAAAGAGCATTTCATTATTTACATAATATATTTGTTTCGTATTTCAAAAACTTATTTTAGATTTCTATAATTATATCAATGGAAACATATATTTACCGATCCATCTTTATCACCGCCTCCTAGCATGTCATACACCAACTTCTTAGCATGCTAAAAATAAATTGAAAAATAAAAGAATTGATTTTTAAAATAAGATAATACAAATTAAATTTACCTCAACTTTGGCTGTTTCACCAGATATCCTTAAAGGTTTTTCATTTTCTTGACTATTAGGACCATCTTGTATAACTATCATCTTTGCTCCAGAACTTTCTTGTAACATTTTAATAGTTTCGCCTCCTTTTCCAATAATAAGTCCTACTTTTGCTCCAGGTATCATTATTTGGGCCTATATTAAGTGAATACATTTTTAATGAAGTAAGGTTTATTTGAAATATTATTCAAATATCTCTACTTGAGTAAAAGCTGGTTGGGAAGGTGGGGAAGATATATTAAGTCCTTCAATTTTTGCACCACCTGTTCCTTCAACAGATACTTTATTCTGTACAATGTTTTGTATGAGCTCTTTAGCTAACCTAGATTTGGATTTATGAATATCTGTAAGTTTTAAGAAAGAAATAAATAATTATAATTGAACACATACGTTATGCTTTGAGCATTTCCCGTAAGTGTACAGGATCGCTCTAATAGGCCAGGGCTATCTGGCGCCATTTGAATTTTACACCCAGTTTCAGCCTGCAGTCGACTAATTTGTCCTCCACCGCGGCCTATAACTTTGCAAAGGGTTAACGCACATAGTACATCAAATTTGCTACTAATTATAACTGAAAAACATGAATATTTTATACTTACTGAGTCCAACCATTTTATCAGGTACTTTTATCTCTTCGTTAATAACGTTTCCAAATTGTGATCCAGGCCCACCGATGCCTTGGATACCGGCTGCTGCTGCTGCTGCCACTCTGGCGGCCACGGCTGCTGCTTGCGCGGCGGCTAAAGCCACCGGAGATGTTGCTAACCTTTTTCTATCAGGCTCTAAATATAGAAATAAATATATAATTCATTAGTTATATGTTTTCAAGGTATACAATCGATTTAATATTAGTATATTGTTTATTTATATAAATAAAATACCTGAAGAGTTACCGTAATCTTCTGAAGGTCTTTTATGTGTTTCTGGTGATATAGATCCTGTTGTTGAACTAGCTTTGGAAGATGGTTGGATTTTAGCTGCTATCTAAATATATAAACACAAGCAATTTTTTTTTTATAATTATCAAAACATTATTAGATTATACCAAATTTATAAGCTTGGGAATGATAACATCTAAAATGAATGCTTATTATTTGAATGGAAAATAAGATATAATAAAGAGCAGTGACTACAGAATTTGTAAAAAGCCAAAATGTTAAATTAAATTTATCCTTAGAAAAAAGGTATTGAAACAAAGTTTACCTATATTATTTTTATTCAAAATATTTACAAAATAAGTTTCTAGGTACCTATGCACCTATTTATATTTAATGAATTTTTACTAATTGAAACTATAAAAAGTAGGTAGGTATTTTTCAGACGTTATAACTTTTTTTCTACAAGATATTTAGAATCTAGGAACAAAAATCAAATTTGAATAAGAGTATTTATGAACATGAATTTCAATTGTTTGTTTGAAGTAGCCACCCATTGATAACAATTACAATTTAAAACGTGGACAATGCATAGTAAATAAACATAATTTAATAATATACCAATATTTATAATAGGAGCAATGCCAATCAATACTTCTTAACTAATTTTACTGGTTCATTAATTATAGTTTAATATTTTAAAATATAAATATAGAATAGGCATAATGAATCTTTTGAAGTTTTAAAATCAATAAATTAATTTCCTTAAAATATGTTGGTACCTAGCGAGTACGAGTAAACAAGTATATCATTTATAGCATAATTGAAACAGTTGCTTATTTTGAATTGACTAATTTTTAATAATATATTTAAGTTAAGAGCACCTATGTATAGGCATGAATAATATTTATCCAAGTCGATCAAATTGAATTTTACTATGAGCTTATGACCTCATTCAATATACATAGAACGAGATAGTCTCTTAAATATTTAATTGATAATAATGTTGAATCGACAATGGTATTGATAGCTAAAAATTACATTTATCCTATACAGAAAATGCATGGTTTATAACAAATTAATCAATTAGTCATTATACATTATTAAAAAGAATATGTACAACTATAGATGATTATTGACTAAGCCCAGACATTTATGTTAAAATAACAGAACCCTAATCCATAGTATAAGATTGTCCAATTAATGGTTACGTTTTCAACATTTTCTTGATCTGAAGGCGCCAACGACATTATAATAACACTTTTCTGAAGGTTTAGAAAAAAAAAAAGAAAAAACTGGAATTAATTGATGTTCAAAAGTAAAGAATGGAAAATAATTGTTTGGACATCTGCTGTCGTCGTCATGGTCAACTGTGATTGAAGCGTCGTACGCGAGACTAAAAGCTTTGGAGACAGGGCATCAGAAATCGGTAAATTTTTTAGTAAAAAAAATTCTTTTTCCATAATTTTTCACTAACAAACCAGAAAACTGACTGGGGGGAAGGTGTGCGGGTAGGATGGGTAGTGTTTCAAAAAAAAAATGGTCGAAAACCACAACGCGCGCCCGACAAACACGCGTTGTGTCAACGAGTGGAATTCGACCACGTACGATGTGAGCACAGGTGCGGACCAACGTTTGGCGGCGCGCAGACATGGGTGAATAGGTATTGGGTAATAACAATAATAACAACAACAATAACCGTGCAACAATCGCCGGTACGCTAGCGAAGACGCGGTTAACGACGATTACCGCCGCGGCGTGGATCACCGGGTGTGGATGCGACCGCGGCGAAGACCGTCTCGGACCAGCCGGCGCGGTTTTTACGCGGGCGGGCAAGGCCGTCTCCGGCGTGCACAACGTACCTCTTTAGCGCGTTGTAAAGCCGCCGCGAATGCTTGACTCTGATTCTTTTCCGTTGGCGGATTCACCGCTGAATAATCACTCATTGTGAAACATGAAGAATATTATCGCTGACGAAATGGATGCTTCCCGCTGAAGTGGTGCTTGGGCCGTTGGAGCGCGCGTGTCCGGGGTAGGTCGGTGGTGCGAGCAACGTACGCAATGCGCGGACGGCGAGTCGAGCGTCGGGCGAGAGAGACAGAAAACAAGTGTTTGTTTAATACGCACGAAGACGATGAGTTTGTCACACCTAAACTAACGAGACACGCTCGGACCGCGTAAACAACAAACCGCCGTGTGGTTGAAGACTATAGCAGTATAGCCTGTTCGGTGGTCGCACGTATGTTCAATGTTGTGTACTTGTGTGTACGAATAGCGAACGGCGTCCGTCGGCGACGAAATGGGTGGGCGGGTGGCGGGCAGGCGCAGGAGAAACGACAATACAATACGTGTAGTAGTCGTCTCTGTCGCACCGACAGCGGCGAGCGTTGCGCTCTGTCCGCGTTGGATGTTTACGGTTGGCGGGGGGTGGAAGGGAGCGCCGGGAGAGAAAATCAAGCGAAACGTGATTACCACCGTCAGACAAGGACGTTCGATAAACGAACGCGCGTTCGGCCATGGAACAGTCAACAGGCAGCGCTTGGTTTCTCGACCGCGGCGACGTCGCGCGCACAGTCGTGGTCTGAAATGAGAAAAATCTATATCACAGAGAACGTTCTTATTTCTTACGACTTACAAGGCACAGGTAAGTAGGCAACACTCAGCAACAGGCTGAAAATTACACTACTTCAGGCTGCAGTAATACACTATGTCACTATACACCGTTCTCTATACTATAAAAATGTAAGTTGTAGTATATGATGGTGTATGCTTTAAAGTATACGGGGTGAATTCAGTGGCGGTTAGAGGAAAGGGCGTCCATTAGGGGGGAAAGGAGGGACTATGTGACATGTCCCCCTGACTTTTCCGTGTCTACTATAGTACATACCTAAATTATTATTTTTAAATTTTAATCTTTAAACTATATTTTTCTATACATTTATGCCGATGTACTAGTACCTATAGTAATATTGATACCGAAATATGTTTAAATAATATTAATTAAATATTAATAGATAATATGTATGTTTAAAAACACTAATCTAGGTCTTCTAGGGGGAGGGTAGAATATCCGTTTGGTCCACAAATTCCTCTTAAAAGAACAACAAGAAATTATTATTTATTGGTAATTTAAGATTTCTATAGTAGGGCCATGGCCCCTATTCCCCCCCCCCCCATTAAATGCCACTCTTAAGAGCAACTGACAATGACTCACGTATACGTAGTTAATTTTAAAAATAAACGACCTACTATTTACTGTAGGTACTATAATATTATGGACAACGATGTTTTTCGTTCAAACATGCATATGTGTTTGCATGCGTACCTATACGCTCCTGGTTTCTGATAAAAACAATTCAATGTTTGCACGCGAAAAAAATGTGTTATAAATTATTTAAAAATTGCAGTTTAATAATAATACTTTTTCAATAAATACAAGTATAAAATTAATTTTCTTCTTTTTCAATAAATATAAGAACATAATTATTGATCTTCTTCTTTTCTTTAATTTCAGTAGGGATTGCGATCGTCGACGGTCATTTATTTTTAAAACTAACTATACGTATACGTGAGTCGTCGTCAGTTGCTTTTAGGCGAGGCATTTAATGGGGGGGGGGGCATAGGGGCCAAGCAATGAACCGTCACTGGTGGTGATCCATTTAATGTAAGACACTCATTGTATCAGTAAAAACTGACGCTTTAAAAAAAGAAATTGTACATAATTATAATTTGTTACAAAACAACATTTTTGGAAAATAATTATATATTTTACTATATTTTTTATCGTTATAATTTACAACTGGGGGGACGGAGTGGCCGAGCGGTCTAAGGCGTCGGTTGCGACGCAACCGATGCCGGCTTGATTCCCGGCCGCGGGCGGCATTTTTCTTCGGGCAAGTCACGGTGTCCGGAGAATAAGTGCCGCCATCCCGGGCATGGTAAATACCTACAGGCGCCCACTAAAAAAATCTGCCAAAAACACACACTTGTTCCATCCCCCTACAGTTCCACAGGCTAATAACCACAGTAGTTGAAGCCTCAACCCCAGCCTCCCACCCACCCCAAAAAATGTACAACTTTTTTGTTCTTTTGAATGATAATTGATAACATATATTTTTGATTTCATATCTCGTAGCTGCAGAATATTATTTGAATAATAGTTAACATTTACAAAAAACACTATGTATACATATGTGATATGTATACTATATATATATAACATATATACATATATACCTACGCAGTGTGTAAACGCTAATTGAGAATACTCAATATCTTTGCGTAGAGCCCTGCAATTTGAATTCTGATTTCTTGTCGGTTTCTAAGTCCAAAATTTACCACGTTACAGCCAATAAACAAAAATACTGCAAAATACGCGAGATTTTTAGTTTTTTACTGTAATTCTGAAAATAATTATTCTAGAATTGTTTAGCCTTAACATTTTCACCCTTAATTATTTAGGTAATATTTAGGTGATACATGATGCAAAGATACTGAGTGTTCTCAATTAGCGTTTACACACTGTATATTATATAGATTTATTTATACTCCAAAACTCAAAATTCAAATCATAGGCCAATGGTAAAGAACTTTAAATGATGTAACACTTCTTACTAATTAACGTCATTCAATTTTGTAATATATTTTGAAAAAAAGATTTATAGCCTCCTTTTTCACGGTTTTGACATTCAGACTAAACAGTGTATTATCTAAATACCTAATAATTTAATAATGTTCATATTGCATAACATGAATTGCATGGTTCTAATGCGTGGTTACAGAAATTAATAACAGTATAGAATTAAGTACATACCTAAGTAAATACATTATAATTTATAATTATTAGGTATCATTATTATATGAAACATCGTATACTGGCTAGATGGGTAGGTACTAAAAAAAATAATTAATAATAATCATAATAGTACATATACAACACTACTAGTTAGTAGTTACAACAGAATATATCTAACTAGCTGCATGCCCATCCGGAGTTGCCCGTGCTAAAATTTATTTATTTTTTTAAAATAAAAAAATGTATATGCTATATATTCTACTACTTTAATATAATAGTAATATAATATGTAATCAATGTCAACCATTTAAATAAACAGAAAAATAATAGATTTTCGAGAAACAAAACTAAATTCATGGGTGAGCCACCCTTCAGTTGTTGTCCAGATTTCGTATATTTATTTACCTCTGTAGGTCTATTTAAAAATGGATAAAAATTTTTAAAAACCAAAGATGGCATACTTATAAGCAGGGCTCGGGACTTAAAGCATTTGCTTATTTTTTTAGATTGACTTAAAATGTAGCAGAGTACTATAGAAGTGTATGTCATGTTACAACACATTCAATTATGAAATTTGAGAGTGCTTTTTTTTGCTTTTTTCAGTGATTTTTCAAAAAAATGCTTATTTCAAGTTTTTATGATAATTATTGCTTTTTTGACCAGTTTTCATACTTTTTTATGGTTTTCTACTGCAAAGTTGTTTTTGATAGAATTAAAATTAAAAATAATTTAAATAAAAAAATTTATTAAAATTTATTAAAAATTTTTTTTTTTTCAACTATTTGTAAATATTGTTTACATTTTATTTTTGAGAAAATCCCTTAGAAAATCCATAAAATCTTCAGTCCTGAAAATGAAGTTTAATTTTTTTTATAATATAAAGATAAATTTTTATTTTTATTTTATTGGTTTTTTTTTTTTAATAAATATTTTTGCTTAAATTTAAGTTTTTTAAATGCTTATTTGAGTGCTTATAATGATGTTTTGAAGTGCTTATTTAAGCGCTTATTTTAATGATTTTAAGTGCTTTAAGTCCCGAGCCCTGCTTATAAGATTCTATCTATTTTAATGGTATAAATGTATGATGAACTAAATACATTATTTTTTAATAATTCAGTCGAATGAACGATATTTGTTACTATTTAATATTAGTATATTATATGTTAGTATTTAATATTTATAATCATAATGGCATTACATTGTTTGGGCAGTTATAATATAATATATTATACAATATACCTATATATTAAATAATTTATCGTTAAAGCCGAGTACATTACATGCCCGGGACGCCGTTCTAGTTCGATGCCGAACATCGCAGTGCGATTTACTTCGGCCGACATCGAGTACGTCCCGGCTCCAGTTTTGATCGAAACTTCCAAGTTTGAAAACAGCCGAACAAAACCTCTCGCGCAGACTCAGCAGCAGTGCACCCGAGTTTGGTGCAGGAGTCTGTAATTCTCCGGTGTGATATGACTGTATTATAATTTTGTAAATATAGGCCGTCAGAATGAAAGTTTGGGGAATCAGTCAAAAATAAAAATCTCTTTATTTTTTATTGTAGGTCGTAAGTAGGTAAATACTTTAATTGTATTCTGGTACATCGGACATAACCAGATCGACCGGTACATTGAAAATAGAAAATACGACTTTATTCCTGTATAATAGGTGCCTACCTATATTGTAAATATTTTGTATGCTTGTAGTAGACAGAAACAACAAATCTTCGGTACCATTTACTTCAATACAAAATTGATGTAATCTGCATTTATAAATATTATTAACTATAGGTACCTATTCTAGTCATATAATATCTGTGTCCTGTGATAATTTTATAATTTATAAGAGCAAATTTGATGATCCCGTGGCAAATATAATTTGTAGCAATATAGCACCTATTATCATTATTTCTACATTTGTATATTATTTTTTGTCACTTTGATAATAATATAATGTATTTATTATAATATATTGTATTATTGTTTAATTGATGAGTTACTTAGCTAGCTATAACGCCATAGATATATCTGCTATGTATCACAATTTACAGCGTAGGTACCTATAGACTAGAGTCCATACATTATACGTAGAATATCGAACCAATGAGTTTAATATTATAATAGTAAATCCACAGCCCCGCGTGCCGTAAAT